CCCAATTGCTTTGACGTTCCAAGAGTAGACGGGTCCACATTTCGTTAACAAGATTGATGGAGTCAGCCGCGAAAATTTTGGTAAAGTCTTTATTTCATGATATCCTAATGCTATTTTAACCCTATCTAGACCGGGGGGGGGCTAAAAGTGCCCGCGCCAACTTTGATGTCACGTAGCGTCTGAACGGTTAGCGCTAGAATGGCAAAACTTGATGACTTTTTCTAGAATATTGTTGGCAACAATTCTGTATCATTGAAATAAGATAATAATTTTTGTATTGCCATGGCAATGGGTTTCTTACAGACATTTTTGCTAAATTTAGGAATTTTTGTTTCAAAATAGAATTTTATGGGTTTTATGTCAAGTTACACATGGTTTCTAATGTTAATAACAATTTGATGACGTCATTGGCCAAAATCCAAGATGGCGGTTCTGGCCAATAAAATCACATTAATGACGTCATATTAATGACGTCATATTACGTCATAACGACATAAAAATTGTAGATGTGATAAATTTTTACTAGTACACCATCCTCTGAAAATTTGGTGGTCATACGACATACCTTTCTCGAGTTCTGAGGGGGGTCAAATGAACCCCCCCGTCCCACCAAGCTCAAAAAAAGCCCGGTCTAGATAGGGTTAAAAACTGCCCTTTGACCCGCAGGAGGTGTATCTTGGCGAACAGAAGGTTACAGACCGCTTTTATCTGCGGGGGAGATCCCTGGTCTTCAAGATACAAGACGTAAATCCTGATGTTACAGGTGACTTTTTTGCACAACAAATTTCCAACTTATTTTGGTTGGGTAAGATTTCAGTTTGATCCTCGGCAACTATCAATACAAAAACATACAAAAGTTGGACTCCACAAAAGTCGGTCGAAAATCCGTATGGTAATGTGTGTCATTTCGAATTATTTGCATTGATGTTAGATTTTCCAGAATTGCAAAATGGACTTACTTTGATAGAGCACCTTTTCATTTGAATTGATCGTATACTAAGCATTGCGTTCTTTAATTGCAACGTTTGTATTATCACTAGGGCTTGAGATCCAGGTGACTGTACCGGCAAGCAAGATGAAGATGACTGCTCAGACATATGCCAACGTAGACGACATCAAGTGTAGGCTGCGCAGGGTGTATGCTCGGATGGTAGGCTAAAAGCTCACACATTCACACATACATTATAGATAGAACATTATCAACTAGAAAAGTAACATGTGCAAAGCAAACTCATAATGTTTACCTCCACGTGGTCCAGCTACTACTGCACTGTTTATTCTTACTCAAAGCCAAATACATTCAAATATATGGTGAGTAGGCTCTCCAACTCTTGCTGTTCTGCTACATAATGTACCACAACATCACAGGGTGTTGCTACAGCACAAGTTACCATGGTGACAGACGTCTGGTCCATGTCATTGGCTTTATTTGTTAGGAACGGAAGAAGAAGAGCAAAAACAATCTGTTTTTCCTGTGCGAAGGTAACAATAATTACATTACCATAGCCTTGATGTTTTTAAAACTAATTTCACGATTTTTTCCAGAACGTGGTGCATGATGGGAAGGTGATAACGGACCTGACCCAAACGTACCGTCAGCTGGGAATCCAGGCTTCTGCGCATGTGCAGCTGCAGTTTGGGGACCCAGAGAATCCACCCGTTGTTCCAACTCGTGAAGGTCAGTAACGCTCCACAAATGTTTCATAACTAGTAATAATGAATTACTATTATAATATATTATATTATATTTTATATCATACCCGGGCCGCGATAACGTTCGATGCCACAGTTGTTTTAAGCCTGAGTAGTAATATTGACCAACTTTGACCCTGACCCATGTTTATTTCTGTAATCTAAGCTTTATTCTCCTAATTAGGCATTAGATGTCAGCAAATTTTAACCAAGGTTTATAGAATTTGCACGAACAATGCACAACCCTTATATCATAATGGCATCCATCATCAGTACATACCATTTTATCTCTCGATAATATCCAATGTTTGCATGGACAAAATGTTTTTTTTATTTTACTATCAGAAGTCAAAGCGATCGAGGAGGCAATAGAGTCACTGATACAAGAACTTCAGGTATCGTTTTACTAGAGTAATGTTGTTGAATTTTAAGCAACCTTCTATATTTTTTGTTACATATCATAGATTAAGACAATCTATTTATAGCTTGTATAGTATATTGTATAGTTTGTAGACTGAAATTAGAAACATGATTAATTTGTTTCTCATTTTAGGGAGTCGAACAGGGGACTGAAGATTCAGACTCTGAAAGTGAAGAGATTACGAAGGAAACGACTGAAGAACAGAACGTCTGGTAAGTACTACAAAGCCTGAGCAAAATCTGTGAAAATTGCGCTATGAAATTTTAAAAGATTTTCCTCACAATTTGGACAGTGTTGTTCGATTAGCTGCTACTTTTCGAGACAAATTTATATGATTTACATGACAAATATGTCAAACTATTATCTATGTTAATTACACCTGTGTCCACAATATCACCAAGGTACATAATATCGCGAGGAACAGTGTGCTTAAAGATATTTTTACTGCAACATACTTTTGGTATGCACATAAAATGTACATACCTAGGGTATGTTGCAGTAAAAATATCTTTAAGCACACTATTTCTCAAGGTGGCGATATTATGGACCCTGGTGATATTATGGACACAGATGTTACATTATCAGGCACTAATTTGAAGACGTTTTCATTTCATTTCGTATATTTAAGTAAATAGATCATGTTTTTACTTATTTCTATATCATAATTTGATTTCTTGCTAATGGAATTATGTAAATCGTGCATTTGTATATTAATATAATATTTACTATTTCGTATTTTTCTATTTTTGTTGCGTATAGAGTCTATGTGGAAATAAACAATAAACTAGAGAGGCCGACATTTGCTTGGGAGCAAATACAGCATATTTCAGTCCATCTCCCTCCCACGCAAAAGTGGACTATTCCAAACTGGCCAGTGTAAAACTGGCAAAGATTCTCAAATAAATGAATTATATAGTAGCTATGTAATTGAGAGCAAAGATGCAAGAACAAGCACATTGAATCTCGAAAGCTTTACTAATCTTATTACAGGTATGCAAATACTAACAATGATGAGATTTGATACATTTTGAAGGTCTTAGGCACATAGAATTGAATGTGTGGGTCATTACGCACAACTTACGTGCAATGTGACCCCAAGTAACCCGCAATGGAACACGTGTTCCATGGCCAACTGCAGATGGAACGTGCCATTCTTTAGATAGAACATGGAACGGGTATAGCACTTTTGGCCCTTTTTTTGCTGAAAATAGCCATTAAAGTCCCCCAAATGAGTCATTTGGAAGTGGTGTATGCCAAATATGTGACTGCTATTCTGTAGACACATGTTCATGGTACCCTTGTACCGAATTTCAGATCATTTGGTTGTAAAACCAGGGCTCAGGATCCAAAAATCCATTTTTTGGCAAAAAATGCCCCAAAAAACCTTCATAAAAATTTTTCAAAGGCATGTATCAAAAAAATGAAAAAAAAAACGCCTGGGGGTATTGGCCCACTCTACCTCCATGCCAAATTTCAAGTCATTTGGCTGAATGATGGCGGAGTTGAATCCCTTTGACTGTGTGGCAGGAGAAGGAGAAGAAGGAGGAGAAGAAGAAACATGAGAGAACACAATATATTTCATCCATACCATGGTATGGACTGAAATATAATAAAGAAACTA